AAAAAAAAAAAAAAAAAAAAAAAAATCTACGTATCAAGACTGTTCTCCAATACATCAGATTTTTGCTGCAGTCTATAAAAACGTGAAGTGAATTAGTATTTCTTTTACATTATAATTGTTGTCATATGATTGTGTTTGTTCATAAGTCATTCTTCAGATTGTTTCTCTTTATCCCAGTAATTAAAACCATATACTATCCAGATTTTTATTAATTTTTACACCTGTGTTGTCTCCATTTTTCAAGCCTCTGCGTTTGTCTTTGAAAATTTTATGCTTACCATTTTTTAGGTCTGATACTCAGGTTATGTTTGTACTTACATTTTAGGCCGTTCGTCCCTGTTTCCAATAGATGATGGCTTGCTAGATGATGGTCACAGTGATCAAGTTGGTGTTTTAAACTCACCCACGTGTTACTCGGCTCATCAAAACGGAGAACGAATAGAACGCTTCTCTCGAAAAGTTTTTGTTGGTGGGCTTCCTCCAGATATTGATGAAGGTAAGCTTGATTTGGCCTTCAAAATAAGGTCAAGCAAGAACAAATTTAATGGAAACAAAACACTCACTTGAAGCATAATATAAATAGGGTATGGAATTTTTATTTTTCCTCTTTGGCAGATTTTAAGAATTAGAATGGAGATCTATCGCTGTTTTAAAAAATAAAAGTTTGTCACTTGTTGAAATATGAAGACAACTGGACACATTTTTTAAATTTCTATTCTTTATATCTTACACATATTGTTACTGTGAGCATCTTCTCTAAGATTTCCCTATCTAGATCATATCTTTCAAAATATAGAACATATTTAAATATATCACATACAACTTTTTGCATAACACACACACGCACATGTGCATACTTACATGCAAATAATGAAATCAGTCATGAAACTGTGTGAAGTAGGGAAACACACGCTTTTAGAAATGGGTAAGAAGGAGGCTATAAAATCCAAAAGGGAAATGGAAAACAGAACATCAAGTAGGAAATTCAGATTATACAAAGACTAATAAACATGTGACATGTGAAACCTGAGGCTAATAAAAATGTGAAAATGATCATGAGTAAAAACAAGGGAAAGATTAAAAGTGCTGAACTATGTTTATAATGTTACAGGAAATTACCACTCATTAATAACTGATAGAGAAGATATAGATATATTTTGGGGAATGCTTCAGTTCTTGATTTAAATATACACAAGCTTACCCTCAATATTAATCAGGATTCTAAGATTCCCATAGCTTAGACTATAGGATTAGATGTGACCATATAGTATATGATTTCCAATGAAGCTACCTGGTGTATGTCAGACCTCTGCATCGTACCAGCATTATAGCTATTCCAGTCTGTTTTGAGGAAACCATCTTTTGATTATGGTTTTACTTGTAAAGCAGTAACAGCTCTCTTTATATAACCTGACACAATGTTGACTCTTTTCAAGCTAGTGCTGCTCATACTTGTGCTATAAGTATTACAAAGTGTTCGTGTGAAATTACATAAAATATTTAATTTACAGAGTAATTTACAGAGTACTGGAATTATTTTTTCCAATATGCTGCTTAAAAGTAAACTTAACTTGACTAAAACAGTTGTAGGTTTTACATATTATCTTAATAAGGATATCAACCATATTCCTTCTGTTTAGATTTTAGTTTCCCTTAGCATATTTGACACTTTAAGATGTTAAATCTTTGAAGTAATTAAAAATACAGGATTCTTAAAATTACTCATTAAAACTACTTACTAATGGATATTATTTGTACTTTTTAAAGATGAAATAACTGCTAGCTTCAGAAGATTTGGGCCTTTGGTAGTAGACTGGCCTCATAAAGCAGAAAGCAAGTCCTATTTTCCACCAAAAGGTAAGAAGTTTCACTGTTAATATTTGTTAGGAAATTGGTTAGATGACAGTAAAATGAATATCATCAATTATTATAAAATATAATGTCAGTCGCTTACTTTTTGGTTTTTGTTTGTTTTTTTAAAAATTGAATGTAAGAAATTTTGTATAAAAATCCATAATTCGTAGAGGCTGGTGACCAGGGTTGAGACAGGAAGTATGATCCTGAGAGCCACTCCTCTGGGCCCTGGCCAGGCGGATCAGTGAGACTCCAGTGGTAGACCCCACTGTAACTGATAGAGCTTCACAAGCTCCAGTCAGTCAGTGTTGAAGTATTTCCTCTGTAAAGCAGCATTCTGAGTAATGTAGGTATAGACATGAAAAAGTGTCCTCGCACTCGGTGAAGTGAAGACTGTGTGAAGTGAATTTATTTATATTGTATCTCCCAGTTTTATGAAAAGGTTAAATGTTAGGAGGATACTTAGTTGCATCAGCCACGTCTTCCCGGGATCATTCTGTGTCTGATCACCAGAGGACTAGAACACGGTCGTGCTTGTGTTATTGAGCATGTCACATGGTGGAGACAACCATTCATAGGGAAAGGGCGTGTACCTGCCTGCGATGACCAGAGGCAGGGAGGAAAGAAGAGACGCACGTTGTCAGTTCTGTTAGCATCTCTGAACTGAAAGCTGTCCGAAAACCGGTCCTGCTCTCCGTGCCTCAGCGCTTCTCTGTATGACCGTGCCTGGGCCTTAAGGCTCTTTCTGGGACTCTCCCTCTGGACGTCCCCATTTATCTTTGGATCTCAGCTTCAGTGTCAGATGCCCACAGAATCCTTTGAGGGTTGGCCTGATGAGCTCTGCCGTCCTTCTGTCAGTCATTCCAGCTCCCAGCACTGTCTCTTTCATAACATTTGTTACAGTTGCTCTGTTACATTTTAACAACTCGACAAGCAATTGTTTTGTTTATTTCATCTGTAAAACTGAATTCATTGAACTTTATACACAGTATTTGTATTCTTAGCACAGATTGGAAATTGCCTAATAAGTGACGTAAACACTAATAAATATTACAGGATAGAGAAATTACTTTGACCTCAAGTAGGTGCAGGAAAGCATCACTGAGAAGCTTTGAATTAAATCAAAAAGCTAATGTGTAATTCACATAGATAAGAGATTGAACAGTTTCAGACCAGAACTGAAGTGTTTGGTCTACCCTCTGTGTCTTCAGATTTCTTGTCTGTGACAACTGTGGAGCACATCTGTTCAGTGAAAAAACATTTGCATTTGTAATGAAAAATATGAAAATTTTTCTTTTCATTTTCTTCCTAGACAGTGTAGTGTAACAACTACCTAGGTAAAATTTATATATCTCCGTATATAATAATGGGTGATTTAAAGTATACAGAGTTTGCTTATGTCATTGTATATAAGAACTTGAATATCTTTGGGTTTGTTTTTTGGGCAGATTGTGTGTCCACTCCAGCGTGTTCTTGGTCATTCCAGGTGACGGTGCCTTTGAAGCATAGGGACATGGGGTTCAAAATTTGACGAAACAGAGCAATTGTGTTCATTGCTGTTTTCACTATCGTGGTTATTGTGGTTTTTTTCAGTGTTTATTTTCTCAATCTAAAATAATTGGAAAAAAAGATTAGTACTGGTACATTGGAGGCTTTTTAAGTATAGCTGTGTAGTTCATTGTAGCCATCGTCAGAGACCAGTGTTTCCCAGTCTTGTCTGTAAGTCAGCGTTTCCCGCAGTGTGGAAGAACCGTGCTACCGAGGCATGCAGTGGCACGGCCACCTTGTCGTTGGAGCAGTGACTTGAGCCTTTAGCTCCGTGGTGGCAAACTGAGGGCACGGGCACGTGAGCCACGTGTTTGCTCAGCTACAACCCCAATGATCGGCTCCAGTCGCAGGGCTGGTGCTCTGAGATAATGAAGTGGGTTTTGGGTTGCAGTTGGCCGCTCGGTCTCTGAAAGGCTTGGCATCACTATTTTAGATGCTACCGCACAGGTATCGTTTCCATTGCAGTGAACAACATTTACATTATGTGATCATCGTTTGTTTACTTTAATCAATTCCAAAGATTATTGTGTGGTTGGCTTTTGTACATTTGATATCTAATGTATTAGATGGGATATAATTTACATACCATATTGCTTAGTTTTTTATATATATTTTCATAGTCATAACAAATTTAAAATATTAATTTAAATATTCTATTATTACAGAATCACCATAGTTGTAATATCCTTAGTTTTTAATCAGAATTAAGGCCTAAGAACAAGTCTTGCCAATCCCAGCATTCAGGAGTTTAAGGCAGGAAGAAGATGATTTCAAGCCCAGCCTGGGTTGCATAGCAAGTCCAAGGCTGGCCTTGACTACATAGCAAGACTTTGTCTCAAACATCAAGCAACAAGGAAGCCAGTCTTCATATTTTTCAAATATATTTGAACGAAGTCTAAGATGTACTTTTAATCTTAAATAATCTTAACTTTGGAAGTTTCTCTTTGCCTAGATTAGTTTGAAGGTTTTAGATTTTTTTTCTCTATGGAATCATGTATTTTTATTAAAAGGAAGTTCCTGTGTGCCACATCAAACCTTTGCAATATAAAAGCCATTGTTGACAATAAATTGTGTTTTCTGAGTACTGAGTAAAACTTCCCATTATATTATGGATCTACGCATACATGGCTTGCTGAGGCTGCCTTAGATGGGACTGTATCACTATGCTGTTTGTTTATTTGCAGAAAAATTTCACAAAGCAGATTTCTAGGTCTCTGAACGTACCAGCTTCTGGGAATATTCCCATAATAGTAAACTTACAATATACATTTTTATGCTCCCTTTTATGTACTTTGTATTCTGCATTGCTGGATGCATGATTTTTAATTAAAGATTGACAACTGGTTGTTCACAGGAAAGGAGGATGATGTACTGCCTGATGGAATGGGAATCTAATACCAGCTTATTAGACTGAACAGTGCTTATCCAAGTTGAGATTTAATTTAAAAGTTTTATCCTGTCATTAAAGAACATATTTCATTCCAGTCTCCCTAGGGTAACTGTCTTAGCATCTTTTGGGACTTTTTTAAAGACACTGGAATTTTCCCTCTACTTAGGGAATTTCCTAGTATGCCAAAAGTATCCTCCAGAATGTGTATTATTATCCTAAGGGCACTTAAAGGAAATTTTGGCTCTTAATACACTACCAGGCTTCTGCTGACGAGCTCTTTAAAAGCATGGTGTCACTACTAGAAAGAGCTGATCTGAGTTTTGCTGTGAGATTGACTTTGATCAAGTAATAGAACCTCTTGGTCCTCTGTTTGTTTGTTTGTTTTTCTTTATGATGTAAATAGCTCATTTATCATAGACTTGTGAAAATTAAATGAAATAATTCACATACAGCTCCAAGTGTAGTGCCTGAGACTAAGTGCCCCACAGAAGGTAGCTTATCACTTTACTCTTTGTTCTTTCATGTATGCCAGAGGATACAGTGTTCTCCTATAGAAGGCTTGAGAATTCAAATCCTATTAGTTTTTTTTCAGCAGCATGTATTCTAGACCATGCTAAGATTTGGGGCTAATTCCTTGTGTTGACTTACTGTTTCATTTTCCTTGGTTCTTCCAGGCTATGCATTCCTTCTCTTTCAAGAAGAGAGCTCAGTTCAGGCACTAATAGATGCTTGTATTGAGGAAGATGGAAAGCTCTATTTGTGTGTTTCCAGCCCTACTATCAAGGACAAACCAGTAAGTAAATGCCATAGCAACTCTGGATGGCAAATGCAATTTTCCCAAAACTGTTCTTATATTTTGTTTCGAAACAAATTACCATGTTACAAGCCATGTCAGTAAACATCCAGGTGATTTATACTACATAGAATTAACAGTAATTTGTATTCAAATCCAGTTCTATAAATTTTTTAAAAATAAGAGTAACACCCAATGTAATTTTCTTCATAGGTTCAAATACGTCCTTGGAATTTAAGTGATAGTGATTTTGTTATGGATGGTTCCCAGCCTTTGGATCCCCGAAAAACAATTTTTGTGGGAGGTGTTCCAAGACCACTAAGGGCTGGTGAGTAGAATATTAACAGATTTTGGGGTTTTTTAATAATTTAAATATAAATTAGTTAAGTCTGAAAGTATTTGGCAGCTGTTAGGTACCTGACACTGTTGGGCAGGTCATGAGAAGATTCTTGATAGTGTTCCTACAGTTGCTGAATTCTGAGAGCCTTTCTTGAAACTCTTAAGTTTTTATCAGTTGATATTTATTGATAATACCAAACAGACTCCATGAGGATGGTCTACTTGAATACTCAGACTTCCTAAGTGCAACTCTCTAAAATAGGACAATTTTGGGTCTCTTAATCACATGTGGGTTGATTCTGGTATCTGAAAAAGACATGGATTTTTTTTCTTTTTCCTGTATCTCAACTACACTATTAACTAAACTAGCATTTTATGTGAATGAGTGATGAACTTGCTTATCAGCAACCAGGAGCCAGAAATCTACTGAAAGATGTCATATAGTACAAACTGTAGCTCTAAATGTCCACTGTATATGTAGATGATAAGGTACCAGGTACTACCTAAGGTGTTACCAATTTCTGTCCTCTGGAAGATGTGTTAAAGAACTGTTCACACTGTAAATATTTTAAAAATATGATGACTGCTAAAAACATGATAACTGCTACAAAGAGAGACTATGGGGAGTAGAGGAGCACACTTGGGAAGGGATTGTCATATAAAGACTAAAAAGAAGGAGGGAGGTGGGGCGGTAGTGGTTGTGAGGCATACACTTCAGACAGAGAAGGACACCTGCAGGAGGCAGGAGGGTGCATGGAAGGGACAGGAAGCAACCCAGAGAGGCTGACCAGGGATTCAAGGAGAGAGGGCAGAGGCACAAGATAGCATTTAAAAAGTAAATAGCAGTTAGATCATACAAGTCTAGTAGGCAAATTTGATATTTATCCTCAGAGCAAGGGAAATCATTCAAAGTTTGTAAAAATAAGGAGAGACATGATCATCTTTGGAATCTTGAAAGATCCGTTAAGTTAATGACTCAGAGGGGGAAGCTCAGTTGCAAGTAAATACAGAGAGCCCTGGTTTTAGAAGCCTCTTGTTGGAGCCTGGGAGGCAGATAGTGGTGGCAGGAATTAGTGTGGCAGTGCAGAAAAAACCAAGTGAACATATGTCACAAATATTTATAAGGCAAATGCAGGGGTTGAATCTCAGCTTTCATCTAAGTCCTGAGGTAGACGGTGGTGCAAAGAAAGACTATGGGGAGATACTAGGAACACTTGAGAAGAAGCAGGGTGGAAGAGAAGATCATGGTTATATGATTTTGAACACAAGTTCTTGGCACCATTCAGAATTTCAAAATAAAAATTTCAGTTAAACTGCCTAGTATCTAGTATAGTTTGTAAGTGAATCGCTCTTGCTACTGTTTTGGAAATAAATGGGAGGACAGAGATCAAAAGCAAAGAGATAAGGCCATGCCATAAACCAGATGTGTGGCACCTTAAAGTGATGGAGCTGAAGAGGTCAGATCCTAGGAGTGTTTTGAAAATCAGGGTGATAGGATTATGTGTGCAGTGAGGAAGAAGAAAACAAAGGATTAAGCAAAAAATCTGGATGTGGCAACTTCATTGTTTCCGTTGTGTGCTACCTGGGTCAGCAGAACCTCATTGGAAGGGCGATAATGAGATGAGGACCACTTTTACCTGAGTTGTGTTTTTAACACACTGCGGGTTGCAACATCTGTGGAATATCAGCACGAATGGTCCAGGAGGCAGAACACTTATGAGTCCAGAGTGAAGGGAAGAGACCCTCGGAAGAGACAAAGTTCAGTGACGAAAACACACAGGTGTTATTTAAAGCTGTGACCCGGGATGAAGTCCCCAACCAGGAGAACAGAGAGAAGCTTAAGGACTGAAGCGGAAAGTACTCTGGCATTGGGCATTCAGGGAGTGAAGGAGGAACTGTCAAGGAAGATGAAGAAAGTGTTAATAAAAGGAGGGGAGAATTAGGAAAAGATACCTGACAAGGCGGATGGAGAAGGTAGGAATTGCTGTGTTCAGCGTCCCCTACAGGTTCACTGACTGCATGGGATTTGTCAGTGGGAAATGGACTTGCTGCCTGCAATTACAATGGGATCATAGAGTGCTAGTCTGTTTATAAGGCTCAGAGAACAGGAAGAGAGTGATTGGATATACACTGTGTACACGTGAAAGGCTTGGATTTACAAAAGAATGTGGAACTATACCCAAAAAGAAGACAGAGAACACAGTATATGGGTTTAGGGCTGGTAAATGGGTACATTTGGTAAGAATCTAACTTTATGTTTTAAAAAAAAGAAAAAAGGGCTCTTGATATCCTGCTTCTTTTTAACAACTCTCTTTTGTCAGTATCCTGTTGTTTACTTTTTAAGAAAAATGATTGATTTGCTGTTTTCTCACGTCTAATGTGAACATCTTTCATTTCAAAGTGGAACTTGCCATGATCATGGACCGGCTCTATGGAGGTGTTTGTTATGCAGGAATTGATACGGATCCGGAGCTAAAATACCCAAAAGGTGCTGGGCGAGTTGCTTTCTCCAATCAGCAGAGCTATATTGCTGCCATTAGTGCTCGATTTGTTCAGCTTCAGCATGGCGATATTGATAAACGTGTAAGTTGCAGACTGAGAAGTCACTGTGTCCTATAATGTGCTGACCCAAAGCCTGCCACCCAAAGGAGTTAATGATATCGTCCAGACATTCTGCGTATTTATTTTTTCGGCTCGAAGGGTTGAACCCAATGAGCACTGAGCCACACCACCAGCCCTTTTATTTTTAGTTGTATTTAAAGTTAGGTCTTGTTAAGTTTCCCATGCTAGCCTCAAAGTCTCATCCTCCTGCCTCACCCAATAAACACTTTATCTTTTGTACTCCTTTATCCAGTTATATCAAAATATGCTTGAAATATAAAATATTTAAATAGATTATATTTTAAATACTATATATAAAATTATGGATTAGATGTTACTTAAATGCCATCAAAATTTTTATCAGTCAGTAAGTCTCAAGTATCTAAGCAAGTATCTAAGCTTCTTTTAAGAGCTTGCCCTCAAGCCAGGCTGCCTGGAATTGAGCAGCATTTCTTCCTTTTGCCCTGTAATCCTGGGCTAATTAGCTCTCTCTGTTACACTTTTTTTTCACTTGGAAAATGGAAAAGAATATTAGTGTGTCGTCTTGGTTTTTTGAGAACTAGATTCGTATATGTACAAGGATTTGAATACAACCTGACAGAGTAAATGCTACTTAAATGTAAGCTTTTAAAATACACGTGTCCGTTTCTTAATTAACCTAAAATTTAACCTATTACCTCCTTAGCAGCATGTTTGAATATCACAGTAAGAACTTTACCTCCTGGGAGTGATAACTGAAAGTCACTCTGCTGAATAATTCTCAGTGCTGTGACTGTCATCTAAGGCAGGGAAGAGGTGACCAACACTCAGTTGCTCATTTGCAAAACAGTTTCAAACTAAAATCAGTGAATAGTTCTTATACGTAGCTAACAGTATTTTAAAGTAATCACGTTTATATTTAAAGTACACCTGACGTGTACTAAGAATATGGAATAAACAAATGTTTTATGTCCAAATGAGTAGATCTAACTTGAACAGGTACTTATTTCCCAAGTAACCATTTCTTGAAGCCTTTCCTGTTTTCCAGTCAAGAAAACTGGTTAACTAATTCTGTTTGACTGGACGGTGGACTACTAAGGAGTAGTCATAAATTGCACTTAAAAAAAAGAAGTATAGCGTAGGTTTGGTTTATAAATGCAAAGTGACTTTTTGTTGCCCAAAATAAAAGAGGGCTCTGCTGTTCTTCAGATTGGCACAGAAAAGCTTTTTGAACTGGTTTGAATCTTAGAGTTCCTCTACTATTGTAGTTCTCAACCTCAGCTTAGCATTAGTCACCTATGTACCTGGAAAATCTTAACATCTGGGTCCCACCCCTGAGACTGCTGTAACTGGTCTGGGGCACAAGCAGGGCTGCTGTTTATAAAGTCCCCCCAGTGACAGTAAGGTAGAGCCATGGTTAAAGTCACTGATTTGGTCCAGTCCTGACTTTGACAGCAAGGAGCCTAGACCACTGAGGAAGTTATTTACATCTGTAACATACACAAGTAAAGAGATTGTTGCAGTGTAATACCTCATACCTCTTTGCTTCTAAAATGGACCAATTATTTTGGAACAGAGCACTGGTTCCTAAATTGCAACTCAGATGCAGAGCATGTGAATTAAGTAACATGAAGGCCAGGGATTCGGCAAAGTGGCACCACGCCTGCCAGGCAAGTGCAGGGTCCTCAGTTTGATCCCTGGTACAAAAAAAAAAAAAAAAAAAAAAAAAAAAAAAAAAAAAAAAAAAAAAA